AAAGGCATCATCCTAAATACACAAGACTCAAAACTTCTGAGTGAAACAAGCCCTGAAAAACCTCTGTCCATCTGGGTGGGCCTTTTTGAAATGCATACAATCCTAACAGACTTTGCCACAAGTCTCCCATCCTGCAGCTTTTGGGTTTGTGGCTGGAAATGGGTCTATTACTCATTCCTTGGATATTGTGCACACCTGCACATCATGCTTCCTGCTCAACACATTTCTCATCCCCTGCACTACAAGACTAAGTTAGGCAGGCTGAGCTGCTCAGAGAAAGGTGCTGTTCTCTTAGATCTGCTTTAGCAGAGCTAAGAACACAGTAGCCAGGGCAAAAGATAATGAGACAATCTTCCTTTCTGCTAGCCAACCCAGTATTTTTAAACAACATCTAATGCATATTAAAAAAAAAAGAAAAAAAAAAGGCATTTTTCAGCCCAAGTGGCCATTTATAATAAAAAATAGCTGCAAGCATGGTAAGTGACAAGCACAGAAACATACTGACATATCTGACACAGTTAAAAAACACAGATATCAATGTGGAAGGACAAACAGCAAACAAAGCTATCTGCCTGATCACAGTGGTTGAGATCACACCTGCCATGGAACTGTATTGCTTTGCACTTCACAGTATTGCCTGAATAAAGGAAATCAGAATGACATGTATGTATTACAAACAGATCAAGCATATCTGTGACTGGGGAGAGGTGGATTTCAGAGATATGATGGACTCCCACCTTCTAGTAACAAGGAAAACATCCCAAGCCTCAAAATAAACAGCATTTGTAGTTAAGGACAGATCTCACTGCTGTTGAAGGGAACATCAAGTAACAAATAAAGCTGGAAAAGCCTTAAAAGGAAACAACTTCTAACACAGAAGAAGCGCTCACGAACCTTTTCGCATGACATAATTGAAGAACTGCATGATAGAGATCCTCCCATAAGGATCATTATGGAGCAATTTAGCAAAGATCTTCGCTGTAAAGAATTGCCTGCAAAACAAACACACACCTGATTACACTGCACTGACAGATTCAGTTATAGTATTTGACATTTACAGATCCTGCAAAATAATGTTTTAACACAGAATGTGTTAATATGCTACATTACACTCATCAGGTGGAATCCTACCAAGTAACAACATAAAAAGCAGCCACCTCTTCTGCTCATGAGACTTTTCAGTGAGGTACAACTTTAGAGAGCTTTTATTCAATTTCTCTTCAGTACAACGTGCTTGGTAGCTTCCAATCTTCTACAACAATATGCACATAAAAGAAACTGCCAGTACTGACAAATAACTGGCTTCTGCCCAAATTTCAATCACAAAGCTACGTGCACAACAGCCATCTCCAAAAGGAGGATAAAGAACTACCATTCACTGCATGCTGTGCACATCTGGTAGGAAACTCTGCATCAGCAGATATTAGGGAAGGTTGGGCAATACCACTGGAGACACGATTTCCAGTTCATTTACATAACCACTAACACCTAAAAATGTTCATGCTGATAAAAACTTTTCTTCGAAAGGATGCACTACCATTCTTTTAGGCACCTCTATTACAAGTCACCTCAGAGAGGCAGAGTACACCTTTGCAAGGATGTAAAGGAACCAGCTCATTAGTAACTACATGGATATGATTTTTTTCTCACCTTAAAACTGTTCCCATCTATTTTAGCAACTGAAAGCTACAGTAACATTTAGGTTTAGTCAGAATGAGCAAGAGAAGAAAGCCTTACTTGCATTTTGGTCCAGCTTTTTCACCAACTTTCAAGAAGTTCTCATAATTAATCATTGCTTCTTCCCCAATCATTGGTGATGTCTGATGTTTGTCCAGTAGAAACCACAGATTCTTAAAAGGTATTTATATTTGGTTAAGAAGATATCTCTCCAGAGATGTTAACGTGCTTAAGATATAGCATTTAAGAAACTCAGCAAAAATGTGGGCTTGATGCAAGGGTTTCTCAGTAAATCAGGACACATGGTCATTCAGCCAGAAAAGTCAGTGTGTGCTACTGCCACTCCCTTAAATGCTGCTAAACACACACACACACACACTCTCCACATGCACACTCTCCCTCCTTCAGAAGCATTTGTAGGGTCACACCCCTTTTGTCTTCGCAGTGTAAGAAAATAATCCATTTTAGGAGTCTCTCTCAATGATATATAAACAGAACTTATTTTATCATCTGGGCCCACCAAGAAATCACTGCAACGTGCTGGAGAACTGGAAGCCATCCATTTAGTCCTCACACACATCATAACAAGGAAGCTTCACGCTGGCATTACCAGCCCAAGGTTAGACAGCACTTCAGCTTCACCAAGTACTGTGTGCCCAAGTACAGAGCACCTTATCACAAGATTCTGTGGGCAGGCAGGAGATAATCTAAATCCATTCAGAAGCCATTACAAGACATACAGAAATGACTTTCCTACCTGCAGCTCTTCATTATCCAACAATTCTCTACTTTTTCTTTGCAGAAAGACAGCTCGAGATTCTTCTCTTAATTTCTGAAGCAAGACTTCATCTTCAGCTGGCAGCTGCAAACACACAATTGTGGCATTTTAATTTTCAGCACAGGACCATTCAAAAACTACACATCCAGCAAGTATTCTTAGGTAGTCTTGAGTCACACACTCTGATTGAAGTTGTTCACTTAACAGAAAATAGTTAGTCTACCAAACTTGCTTCTGCTACAAGGGATATCACTTGCTCACTGCCTCAAACCATCTCAATAATGAAGCACTTACCTAAAGCAGGACATCTTTAACAGGAGAGAGAGAAGTACCTAACACCAGATAACCCATTGAGTAAGCACTTTCCCAAGCTTGCTAGGTATGAGGGCTCACACATAAAAGACATTTACTGCTGTGTTTTACTTGGGAGAAACAGAGCATTCTGTTTTGTGGTAGGCCTGACTCTCCAAAGAGTGAAAGTCTACTGGACTTGTCTGGCCAACAAATAAGATGAAAGAACACCTAGTGTGAAAGTTCTGCCAATATTTACATGCCAAACTGTACAGCACCACTGGAACTTGGAGAGTTGCACACATACCCATCAATTGAAACACAGGTACTTGAGAACTGCACTGGCAGAAATGTGAGCCCCTAAGGAATACGTGACCATGAGAGGTTTGGCAGCAGCTGAGCAGTCACGCTGATGAGTACCAGCAATACCAAGATGTCAACAAGTGCTCCCATGCCAATCTGATTCATGCTCACAACTAGGTTGCTGGACCAAGCATTTCTGATGGATGATGCAAGCAACAGATCCATCTCTAGTCTGCAAGAGCAATGCCCCACCATTTTCATGAGGCAGCATCCCACCGTGTCTAAGCAGGAAATAGAAGATGTAACATTACACACATGTAACACCAGTACATCAAAATTTATTTAGAACTTCAAGTGCCTCTGAAAGACAACTTGGTATCTGTACCAAGCAGACTGATTAGCAAAATATTCCACTGACCCCGATAAGATTCTCAGTACTTATTTAAAACTGCTGAAATTCACAATTGTACAAAACAAAAAATTAGACTAAGCAATTCACATCACTCAGACTTCAATCTACTTTAGCTTCTGAAGCTGCAGGGTCCCTGTGAGTGAGCATAAATTTTTGTTGTAACACAGAATAGCCTCTTGTTAAAAGTTTATCCGGACACTTCACTTACCCTGTAGTAAAATCGTGGTATGTTTGCATATGACACGTTGTCACTTTTTTTCCCTCCTTTCCATTCCATGTAATATTTTGTGAACAATTCTTCATCCTTTAGCTCTTGTTCACTCTTTTTGGCTGATTAACATAGAAAAGAATGTTCACGCTGTACTCCAGAGAGAGTTCTAATGTAAAAAGGGGCTCGAATAGCAGTGTTAATACTGGGGCTTATCTGGTTGTGCTGTTTGGTAACACAAATATGAGGTGGAAATGACCGGAGCACAGACCAATCACATAAATTACATAAGAATACGTCCCGTAAGTATGTTGAGTATGGGCACATCTCTCTTTCAATGACTGCACACACCGATTCGCTGCCAGGTGTGCAG